CACACACTCCTTACACACCCTGTTAGACCCACACCCTTCAACACACCCTGCAGACACACACACACTCCTTACACACCCTGTAGAGACTCACACTCTGCAGACAGATACACACACCCTTATGTGCCATCTGGGACACACTGTATGTGGAAAAACAATCAACAGATCACACACAGACTGAGCAGAATCAAACCCAGGACCCTAGAGCTGTGAGGCACTGAACCTGAAGCTGCTGGACAGAACAGCATGATGGAGTAAAATACTGTCACTGACAGTGATTCCTGACTCTGCCTTCCATGTCAAAATTACCTACACCAACTTCCTAAAGCTTCCGCTTGCATTTTGGTCATTCTATTCTGCCCCTGTTGTGGATTTTGATTAAAAATAGAGATGAATAGAATAAGGCAAAATATTGACTGTGTACGAGGACTGATGAAGACTACAAAGTACAACACCAGATACAAGTGCTCAAAATCCTCATAAACAACGCCAACCCATATGACTTCTTCAGAATCAAGAGTGAAACACAAGGTCACAAGTAGGAACCATGTGGAAGGCAATTTAAAACCCAGAACATATGGCACTTTACTTTAAGGGTGGTAGGAGAGTGGCACAAGCTGCTCAGCCATGGTGGCGAAGCAGATACTCTGGTTTCTGTTAAGAACTGTCTGGAAGAGATCCTGGGATCTTTATGGGTGCTGGCTGTCTATTTCTGAAGTTTGTTCACGGTGTGCAGCAATGCAGAGAGGCAGCTTGTGAGAGTTTAGTCAGTGTGATCCATGCTAATCTAGGTTTAACACACTGTCCATCTGTGCTACTGACACATAGTGCTTGGGGCAGGACCCTGAGAGAGAGAGAGAGAGAGAGAGAGAGAGAGAGAGAGAGAGAGAGAGAGAGAGAGAGAGAGGAGAAGCCCAAACGCTCAGAGAGACTAAGGCACAGCACACGTGCACTCAGAAAGAGATCGTGACCCTTGACGTCACACTGTAGCTAAGACAGACTAATGAGCAGGCTGCTCGGACATATGGCAGGTGGAAAGAGAACCTAATCTCTCCAGCCGACGCCTCTGGAACTTTGAATTTCCACGTGAACGGATGAGCAAGACGCCGGCCGATCCTCAGATCGGATTAGGAAAGGAACGCATGGGAGAAATCAACAGGCTGCCCCACCGCCATTCCGAGAGCCTTCATCGGGTAGAACCCATGTGCGCTCTCAGCTCTGAATGTCCCAGGGAGCAAACCAGACAACTTTTCTCAAATGTGTGCAGTACACTCTAGCATGTTTGCAGTATCCTGTATAGAGACACTGTGGGGATAGAAAGTCAACATCATAAGAAAGCTGAACACTTACCACATCTGCTTTTTACGTTTACAAGTTACACCTGTAAGGCGTCTCGTCAAAAATGAACCCATTACTGTTACAAGCTACTGGTGTAAGGTAACACTTTTCAAAACCCTCGTTTAAGAGGTAATGCACTGCATCATGAAGAAAAATGACATGCATTTTCAAGAATTTAAAATTAAAAGATAAAATATACCTAAATTTGTGTTAAAACATGTTTTCTGGATGTTTAAAAAGTAAATTATATTCTTGGATAAAACTTTGATTACCCTGCTCTGACGTGTTCCCTGAAACAGTTTACCAGTCTTTTTCCTCCAGAGTCCAGAGAAAAGCAATCAGATACATTCAGGCACTGAAGGGAATGAACTGCACTGACAGGCTGAAGGAACTGAGTCCCTTCTGTCTTGAACAGCATAGAGGAGGAAGAGACCTGATACAAGTTTTCACAATCTTTAAAATTATCGACAAAGTCAACCCACAGGTCTTATTATAATTTAAACAGTGAAGCAAAAAACAGGGCACAAGAGGGACCTATATGGAAGTCATTTTAAACAGCAAATGGGAGATATTTCTTTACACAAAGGGTGGAAGGAGAGTGGAACAAGCTACCTAGAGATGTTGGAACTAATACCCTGGATTTTTTCAAGAAACAGCTGGATGAGATGCTGGGATCAGTAAGCTACCAAACAAACTACAGGGCCTTCTCAGAATTGTGACCCATCTTGTGTTCTCTAGTCTTACTATGTCAAGACAGCTGCAAGTAACAGATCTGCAGAAGGACGGAAATCAAACAATGGGAAAGTCTGGTTTGCAAAGAGTAGGACACGCAAATACATCTGCCCACAAACACAGGGATGCAAAAACAAAATATCTTAAGATCCATACTAAATCAAGCGTTGCCTAAATCAGAATCAACTTTTGCGGTGGCTCTGTGGCTCAGGATCCGCGCCTGTGGCTGGAAGGTTGCCGGTTTGTATCCCGTGGCTGGCAGAGGAATCCTACTCCGTTGGGACCCTGAGCAAGGCCCTTCACCCCAACTGCTCCAGGGGCACTGTACAATGGCTGACCCTGTGCTCTGACCCCAAGCTTCTCTCCCTGTCTGTGTGTCTCATGGAGAGCAAGCTGAGGTATGTGAAAAGACACATTCCTAATACAAGAAATTGTATCTGGCCAATAAAGGGATCTGATCTGATCTTACTTGCCAAGTACATTTTGTGGTCAAAGAACTTATTTTGGTGTAGCTGGTGCTGCAAGAGCTACACACAAACAAGACAACAGACATTACGAAGAGAGTGCTCACTGAACTGGGAATTCAGGTTAAGCAAAATGACAGCCCTAGGAAAGAAGCTTTCTAATACTGGGGTGGTTCTGGTTTTAAAGAACCGGTAGCGTCTTCCTGCGCGAAGGATATATAGCAGGTGGAAACCTGGGAGGGAAGGGTGATCCGCAATCATTCCAGCCAGCTTCTTTGCTCTGGAATTGCACTTTACAAGGCATGACATAAGCACCCTCACCAGACTCCACTGATGAACACTGGCAAAGCCCAGCTAGAAGTGGATTACAGTGCCCTCTAGTGGAAGGATCTGGGCACGGCAGAGGCAGTCCTATCTATGCCCACTGCCTTCCAATACACTCATGCAAGCACAACCTTTCCGTAACCTGGAACTAATCACAACGTATGGGAAATTAGACTTGGAAACCATCACCCAATCCTATCACGGCTGTTCAGTTGTGCCTTTTCTCTGTAACTCATATACGATCTCTTACTGTTCAATCTGACTTTTAATATATTCATCGCTTCTTGTTTTAGTAACTCTGTCAAAGCCAGCAGGGGCACAATTTCTCTGAATGGCAACAGCACTCCAACAAGAAACAGCGACAGTTTTCATTTTTGGGCACAACTGGAGTTTTACAAATCACACCCAGTACTGCAGCAAACCGATGCCCATTAGTAAAACGGAACAAAATATCATCATCGCTTTCAAAAACCACTAATCCAACTCGGGGTCAGGGTGGGCCAGAGTCTATCCCAGGAAGCACTGGGCGCAAGGCAGGATACACCCTGGATCGGACACCAGTTCACCTCAGGGCTCACAGACACATTTTTCCCAGAAACCAATTAAGCTACCAATATGCTTTTGGGCTGTGCGAGGAAACCAGAGCACCTGGAGAAAACCTTGATGAGCACAGGGAGAACATACAAACTCCACGCAGATAGCATCCCAGGTCTGGAATTGAACCCAGGGCCAAATTCAATTCAGGCTCTAGACACATTTAGACTGGGTCTAAATATCTCTCCTCCTGCTTGCGACTGAACTGTACCTTTGTCCACTTCTCCACTGCACACAATACAGTGACCTTTGAAAGCACCCAATCTCATCGCGGCCTGCAACTATTAAATTCACACGGTGACGTTTCCTTTTCCCCCCAACTGAACTGGAAATGGAAATGGATAGAAGGGACCACTACCATTACACATTACAGGCAGAGGGCATTCAGGATATGGCACATGCTTGGATAGAGAAGCGTACTTGAAACAGAGAACAGTAGACACTTATTTACACAGAGCGTAGCTGGAGTGTGGAACAAACTGCTCCGCCACATTGTGAAAGTCGATAGCCTAATTTATTAAAATCGACTGGATGAGATCCTCAGTTTAATTCGCCGAACAGGCCAGATGGGCCGAGTTGCCTACTCTCTCTATCTTCTTATCACGTATGTTTCTCCGTCTTTCTTTTCAGATGAATTTTCTGTCCGTCTGCGTGATTGCTGCCGTCTTTTGCTTTCTTTCCATACAGCTAATCCTGAAGGCGTGCGTGAACGCACAGCGTGCTCTCTCTCTCTCAGCAGCTCATCGGTCTGTGTGGCTCTGTCAATATTTGTCTGAGCCCTTCTCTTTTGTCGCCAGGTGCCTGTGAAAATTTTCTTCCTTTCTTCGTGCACGTCTGGCTGGCTGGCTTGGATCTGCAAAGAGTAGGCCATTCCATCACGAATGCCGACACACAAGGGGCCCCCTCTCGTCTTATTATTGTGCCTCCTTTGGTCCCAGTGTCTTTGTCTTGCTAAAGGATTCATTGTGTTGCAAATGTAGACTAGGCCCTGTTGCCGGGACGACAGGCCTGGCCTCTCCTGCTCCCCCTACCCTCTCTGCAGCTGTGAGCCCCCCCACCCTACTCTAAAGGTTGCCACGGAAACGAGGCCTGCACAATAACTCACAGAAGGCCTCAGTCTTGAAGGCTGGGAACTGGGTGTGAGAGACATGCTAAGGCTGAGGGAGTGACTGGGGGGAGGGTGGGCAGGAGCACACGCAGAAACTGCTGACCCTGACTAACCCCCCCCCATCACTCTGTCAAAACAGGCCTGGGCTGTTTTGGTTCTGAGGTACTGTGAAAACTGCTCTTTTTTTGGACAAGAAAACGCATCACACAGCCAAACAGGAGTTGGGTCCCTGTACGCATCTCAGTCACAGCCAAGGAGCTTTTCATCAGTGTCTCTGTGGCCTGTGATTTACGAGCTTTCTTTCTAAAGGGGCCCAGGCCCATTAATCCCTTCGAGATTTGTTTGTTATGCTTAAACGTGGATGGTGACCTCACAGGCACACAGGCGGATATGGAGACACAGAGTCACACACAGAGGGACAGATGGACAAAGGAAGGGAGAGAGATGCATACAGTCGCACATAGAGACAGACAAATGGATGAAGGGACAGAGACAGACACACATGGAAGGTGACCTCACTATCACACAGATGGACACAGAGACAGAGGAAGGGACAAGGTCACACACAGTCTACATACGCTGTATTTTTGTTTCAGCCATTCTCAAGTCAAGGAAAACTTCCTAGAGTTCTGGCCTATCCTCAGTCCTATTTTCTAAAGGAGCAGTCGGAAAACTTTTCTGGCTAGAGCACCCCCAAAACCATCCCTTTAAGGACTCCAACTCTGACTTCAATCAGATCAGAACACAAGGAAAGCTGTGCTGGTAGGAATGTGTTGTGGAGGTATTTCCAAGGGGGAGTGATGGGTTCAACACCACCACCACCTGTGAGACTCATCCCATGGACCAGTCATGAGGTACGCTGTCCTCGCAGAGCAGGGCGAGACTGGCACAGGGTTCACTGCGTCTGACTTCACCTTTCTGACCAGCCCATTTACAGTGAATGCAGACTGAAGGTAACCTGTGAATTTACTGTAGCCCATTTGCTCAAGAACAAAGAAAGGACAACGAGGGCATGAACTGGTATCTTTCTGCAGTGTCTCAAGCTTGCAAACCTTGTAGAACATGAGGTACTATAAAGCATAACCTAATCAGCCCATAAAGCCTACTTTAAACATGTGCTGAATGAAATCATCACTTCCTCGTAATTTGCCTCCACAGTTAAACAACTGCGGGGATTAAGCATGGTTTTCCTACATGTCACGTTCAACTTATGCAATCAATTTCTACACTGATTATAGCATGTATGGAGGAGGCTCCACAGGTGTAAGAGCAGTGGCCTTAGAAACCAGGGGTTGCAGGTTCAAATCCTTCTGGGGCTTTAGTGTGTGTGTTTCAATACACCACATAGCAAACCAATCTATTCTCATTTATACACTGGTCTCGTGTTCTTAATTAGATCAGGTTACTGGAAGAAATGGAACAAATGAAATCTGAAAACATGGGTAGCAAAAGGCAAGCCTCTTTTACCTGGTGACCCTTTCAGTTTCATCTTAAGAGTGCTAATTAATAAGCAAGGTGTGGCAGCTGTTCTGCAGTCTAGTTTTAAAATTCTCCACAATTCTGCAGCACACAGCACCGTAATTACTGCAACGAATTCAAACCACAGGTAACGGTTTCATCAGACTCACCCCGAGGCGATGAGGGCTCGAGACTGTGCCATGGCGATGCGCTGCAGGGCTGGGCGGCTCAGTCCCGCCAGGCTGGAGCGGGGCGGCAGAGGGGCTGCGCACGCTGAGGCAGGGGGCGGCGGCGGCGGCGCTGGGGGGGGCGGGGGGAGAGGG